AAGAGTCTCTGGGTGAAAAGTATATGGGTGAAAAGTATGTGCAAGAAGAGTTTCTGGGTGAAAAGTATATGGGTGAAAAGTATGTGCAAGAAGAGTTTCTGGGTGAACAGTTTATGGGTGAAAAGTATGTGCAAGAAGAGTTTCTGGGTGAAGAGTCTCTGGGTGAAAAGTATATGGGTGAAAAGTATGTGCAAGGAGGGGTTTTTGGGTGAAAAGTTTATGAGTGAAAAGTATGTAGAGTTTCTGGGTGAAGAGTCCCTGGGTGAAAAGTATATGGGTGAAAAGTATGTGGAAGAAGAGTTTGTGGGTGAGGAGTCTCTGGGTGAAAAGTCTGTGCAAGAAGAGTTTCTGGGTGAAGAGTCTCTGGGTGAAACGACTATGGGTGAAAAGTATGTGCAAGAAGAGTTTCTGGGTGAAGAGTCTCTGGGTCAAAAGTATGTGCAAGAAGAGTTTCTGGGTGAAGAGTCTGTGGGTGAAAAGTATATGGGTGAAAAGTATGCGCAAGAAGAGTTTCTGGGTGAAGAGTTTCTGGGTGAAAAGTATATGGGTGAAAAGTATGTGCAAGAAGAGTTTCTGGGTGAAGAGTCTCTGGGTGAAAAGTATATGGGTGAAAAGTATGTGCAAGAAGAGTTTCTGGGTGAAGAATCTCTGGGTGAAAAGTATATGGGTGAAAAGTATGTGCAAGAAGAGTTTCTGGGTGAAGAGTCTCTGGGTGAAAAGTATATGGGTGAAAAGTATGTGCAAGAAGAGTTTCTGGGTGAAGAGTCTCTGGGTGTAAAGTATATGGGTGAAAAGTATGTGCAAGAAGAGTTTCTGGGTGAAGAGTCTCTGGGTGAAAGTATGTGCAAGAAGAGTTTCTGGGTGAAGAGTCTGTGGGTGAAAAGTATATGGGTGAAAAGTATGAACAAGAAAAGTTTCTGGGTGAAGAGTCTCTGGGTGAAAAGTATATGGGTGAAAAGTATGTGCAAGAAGAGTTTCTGGGTGAAGAGTCTTTGGGTGAAAAGTATGTGCAGGAAGAGTTTCTGGGTGAAGAGTCTTTGGGTGAAAGGTATATGGGTGAAAAGTATGTGCAGGAAGAGTTTCTGGGTGAAGAGTCTGTGGGTGAAAAGTATATGGGTGAAAAGTACGTGCAAGAAGAGTTTCTGGGTGAAGAGTCTCTGGGTGAAAAGTATGTGCAGGAAGAGTTTCTGGGTGAAGAGTCTGTGGGTGAAAAGTATATGGGTGAAAAGTATGTGCAAGAAGAGTTTCTGGGTGAAAAGTTTATGGGTGAAAAGTATATGCAAGAAGAGTGTCTGGGTGAAGAGTCTCTGGATGAAAAGTATGTGCAGGAAGAGTTTCTGGGTGAAGAGTCTGTGGGTGAAAAGTATATGGGTGAAAAGTATGTGCAAGAAGAGTTTCTGGGTGAAGAGTTTATGGGTGAAAAGTATGTGCAAGAAGAGTTTCTGGGTGAGGAGTCTCTGGGTGAAACGTATGTGCAGGAAGAGTTTCTGGGTGAAGAGTCTCTGGTTGAAAATGTATTTGGGTGAAAAGTATGTGCAAGAAGGGGTTTTTGGGTGAAAAGTTTATGGGTGAAAAGTATGTGCAAGAAGAGTTTCTGGGTGAAGAGTCTCTGGGTGAAAAGTATGTGCAAGAAGAGTTTCTGGGTGAAGAGTCTCTGGGTGAGGAGTCTCTGGGTGAAAAGTCTGTGCAAGAAGAGTTTCTGGGTGAAGAGTCTCTGGGTGAAAAGTATGTGCAGGAAGAGTTTCTGGGTGAAGAGTCTCTGGGTGAAAAGCATATGGGTGAAGAGTATGTGCAAGAAGAGTTTCTGGGTGAAACGGCTATGGGTGAAAAGTATGTGCAAGAAGAGTTTCTGGGTGAAGAGTCTCTGGGTGAAAAGTTTGTGCAAGAAGAGTTTCTGGGTGAAGAGTCTCTGGGTGAAAAGTATATGGGTGAAAAGTATGTGCAAGAAGAGTTTCTGGGTGGAGAGTCTCTGGGTGAAAGTATATGGGTGAAAAGTATGTGCAAGAAGAGTTTCTGGGTGAAGAGTCTCTGGGTGAAAAGTATATGGGTGAAAAGTATGTGCAAGAAGAGTTGCTGGGTGAAGAGTCCCTGGGTGAAAAGTATATGGGTGAAAAGTATGTGCAAGAAGAGTTTCTGGGTGAAGAGTCTCTGGGTGAAAAGTATATGGGTGAAAAGTATGTGCAAGAAGAGTTGCTGGGTGAAGAGTCCCTGGGTGAAAAGTATATGGGTGAAAAGTATGTGCAAGAAGAGTTTCTGGGTGAAGAGTCTCTGGGTGAAAAGTATGTGCAAGAAGAGTTTCTGGGTGAAGAGTCTCTGGCTGAAAAGTATATGGGTGAAAAGTATGAACAAGAAAAGTTTCTGGGTGAAGAGTCTCTGGGTGAAAAGTATATGGGTGAAAAGTATGTGCAAGAAGAGTTTCTGGGTGAGTGAAGAGTCTCTGGGTGAACAGTTTGTGCAAGAAGAGTTTCTGGGCGAAGAGTTTCTGGGTGAAAAGTATGTGCCAGAAGAGTTTCTGGGTGAAGAGTCTCTGGGTGAAAAGTATATGGGTGAAAAGTATGTGCAAGAAGAGTTTCTGGGTGAAAAGTCAGTGCAAGAAGAGTGAGAGTCTCTGGGTGAAGAGTCTCTGAGTGAAAAGTATGTGCAAGAAGAGTTGCTGGGTGAAGAGTCTCTGGGTGAAAAGCATGTGCAGGAAGAGTTTCTGGGTGAAGAGTCTGTGGGTGAAAAGTATATGGGTGAAAAGTATGTGCAAGAAGAGTTTCTGGGTGAAAAGTATATGGGTGAAAAGTATGTGCAAGAAGAGTTTCTGGGTGAAGAGTCCCTGGGTGAAGAGTCTCTGGGTGAAAAGCCTGTGCAAGAAGAGTTTCTGGGTGCAGAGTCTCTGGGTGAAAAGTATATGGGTGAAAAGTATGTGCAAGAAGAGTTTCTGGGTGAAGAGTCTCTGGGTGAAGAGTATATGGGTGAAAAGAATGTGCAAGAAGAGTTTCTGGGTGAAGAGTTTCTGGGTGAAGAGTCTCTGGTTGAACATGTATTTGGGTGAACAGTATGTGCAAGAAGAGTTTCTGGGTGAAAAGTCTCTGGGTGAAAAGTATGTGCAAGAAGAGTTTCTGCGTGCAGAATCTCTGGGTGAAAAGTATATGGGTGAAAAGTATGTGCAAGAAGAGTTTCTGGGTGAAGAGTCTCTGGGTGAAGAGTATATGGGTGAAAAGTATGTGCAAGAAGAGTTGCTGGGTGAAGAGTCCCTGGGTGAAAAGTATATGGGTGAAAAGTATGTGCAAGAAGAGTTTCTGGGTGAAGAGTCTCTTGGTGAAAAGTATATGGGTGAAAAGTATGTGCAAGAAGAGTTTCTGGGTGAAGAGTTTCTGGGTGAAAAGTATATTGGTGAAAAGTATATGGGGGGAAGTCTCTGGGTTAAAATCATTGGGGAATATAGGGATAGATGGGATGCTGGCTTTCGTTCCGCGCTTCTAAGGTTGATTTTCATGCCACTTACTTTGGCTCCAGCCATTTTTAGAGGCTCATTTTTGACCAACTCCGGCCCACTTAAAGGCTTTTGAACTTTTGGTGGCCATGGTGCGTGGAGCAAGGAAAGCTATTGCTGTCGGAGTTGCGGTGGCTGCAGCATGCTGTCTCCAGCAGCACTTGAATTTTGTGCCTGGGCCTCGGCATGCTGCTCCAGTGGCCGCAGCAGCAGCCAGCATGATGATGGCTCCTGCGGCTTTTGCTGATGAGATCGGCGATGCTGCAAAGAAGCTTGGGGATGCTTCCTACTCTTTTGCCAAGGAAGTGGACTGGAACAATGGCATTTTCCTGCAGGCCCCTGGCAAGTTTCAGCCCTTGGAAGCTTTGAAAGCCATTGACAAGATGATCGAAATGGGGGCAGCCGCAGATCCAAAGCTTCTGAAGGAGGCAGCAGAAGCACATCACAAGGCCATCGGGAGCATCAGCGGGCCAAATGGTGTGACTTCGCGCGCTGACTGGGATGCCGTGAATGCAGCCCTTGGCCGTGTAATCGCTTCAGTCCCCAAAGCAAAGGTCATGGCTGTTTACGATTCAGTGAAAGCCATCACGGACCCCGGAGTGCCAGCTTACATGAAGTCCTTGGTGAACGGACCCGATGCCGAAAAGGCCTACCAAGGATTCCTGGAATTCAAGGATGTTGTTGAAAAGAACCAGGTGGCCACGGCCAGTGCTCCTGCAGTTGTGCCTTCCGGAGACAAAATTGGTGAAGCTGCAAAAGCGTTGTCCGATGCATCCTATCCTTTCATCAAGGACATCGATTGGCTGTCGGACGTTTACCTGAAGCCGCTGCCCGGCAAGACTGCCCCAGAGACGCTGCAAGCCATTGACAAGATGATCGTGATGGGCGCCAAGATGGATGGCAACCTCTTGAAGGCAGCAGCAGAGGCACACCACAAGGCCATTGGCAGCATTGATGCCACTGGTGTGACGTCCGCGGCCGACTACGAAGCTGTGAATGCAGCCATTGGGCGCTTGGTGGCATCCGTGCCCAAGACTACCGTGATGGATGTGTACAATTCTATGGCCAAGGTCGTTGATTCCAGCGTCCCCAACAACATGTTCTCGAAGGTGAATCCATTGGATGCAGTGGCTGCTGCCAAGGGTTTTTACACCTTCAAAGATGTTGTGGAGGCTTCCCAGCGCTGAAGGTAAAGACCATCAGCATGAATCGTGAAGATTCGACGTTGCTTTAACATGCTTTAACAGAACACTTTTTATAAATGTATAGATGTATAGTCAATAGTTACAGACATCTGTACTAGTCTCTTGATGAGGCGGGAACCTCTGGAGCAAGTGAAAAAAACACACTTGCCGGGCGTACATCTGATGACTTAGCATGCTCCGTGCTTTCATGGACAGATACACAATTCAAATCCCAGCAACAGCTTTGGGCACTGATTCCGGTGCTTTGGGGATCTGAAGACATGCTTTTTTCCTCTAAATTGGATTTTCATGCCACTTACTTTGGCTCAAGCCATTTTTAGAGGCTCATTTTTGACCAACTCCGACCCACTTAAAGACTTTTGAACTTTTGGTGGCCATGGTGCGTGGAGCAAGGAAAGCTATTGCTGTTGGAGTTGCGGTGGCTGCAGCATGCTGTCTCCAGCGGCACTTGAATTTTGTGCCTGGGCCTCGGCATGCTGCTCCAGTGGCCGCAGCAGCAGCCAGCATGATGATGGCTCCTGCGGCTTTTGCTGATGAGATCGGCGATGCTGCAAAGAAGCTTGGGGATGCTTCCTACTCTTTTGCCAAGGAAGTGGACTGGAACAATGGCATTTTCCTGCAGGCCCCTGGCAAGTTTCAGCCCTTGGAAGCTTTGAAAGCCATTGACAAGATGATCGAAATGGGGGCAGCCGCAGATCCAAAGCTTTTGAAGGAGGCAGCAGAAGCACATCACAAGGCCATCGGGAGCATCAGCGGGCCAAATGGTGTGACTTCGCGCGCTGACTGGGATGCCGTGAATGCAGCTCTTGGCCGTGTAATCGCTTCAGTCCCCAAAGCAAAGGTCATGGCTGTTTACGATTCAGTGAAAGCCATCACGGACCCCGGAGTGCCAGCTTACATGAAGTCCTTGGTGAACGGACCCGATGCCGAAAAGGCCTACCAAGGATTCCTGGAATTCAAGGATGTTGTTGAAAAGAACCAGGTGGCCACGGCCAGTGCTCCTGCAGTTGTGCCTTCCGGAGACAAAATTGGTGAAGCTGCAAAAGCGTTGTCCGATGCATCCTATCCTTTCATCAAGGACATCGATTGGCTGTCGGACGTTTACCTGAAGCCGCTGCCCGGCAAGACTGCCCCAGAGACGCTGCAAGCCATTGACAAGATGATTGTGATGGGCGCCAAGATGGATGGCAACCTCTTGAAGGCAGCAGCAGAGGCACACCACAAGGCCATTGGCAGCATTGATGCCACTGGTGTGACGTCCGCGGCCGACTACGAAGCTGTGAATGCAGCCATTGGACGCTTGGTGGCATCCGTGCCCAAGACTACCGTGATGGATGTGTACAATTCTATGGCCAAGGTCGTTGATTCCAGCGTCCCCAACAACATGTTCTCGAAGGTGAATCCATTGGATGCAGTGGCTGCTGCCAAGGGTTTTTACACCTTCAAAGATGTTGTGGAGGCTTCCCAGCGCTGAAGGTAGAGACCATCAGCATGAATCGTGAAGATTCGACGTTGCTTTAACATGCTTTAACAGAACACTTTTTATAAATGTATAGATGTATAGTCAATAGTTACAGACATCTGTACTAGTCTCTTGATGAGGCGGGAACCTCTGGAGCAAGTGAAAAAACACACTTGCCGGGCGTACATCTGATGACTTAGCATGCTCCGTGCTTTCATGGACAGATACACAATTCAAATCCCACGAACAGCTTTGGGCACTGATTCTTGTGTTTTGGGGATCTGAAGATATGGATTTGTCTGAAAACAAGGTAACCCTAAATCCACTGGATTCCACTGGTTTAGCATCATTTTCCATTTGTTTCTTTTACTAAATTGCAATTTGATGTGTAGCCCGGTATAGCCCATTCTCGAGGTTCAGATTTCCCAAGCAGTGACGCCATATCCCGAGGTACAAACCAGCTATCAAGTTTGGAAAGACCGCCTTTGAGCGATTTGGAGAGCTTGGGTGCCAACTAGGTCAGGGTATGGTGAAAGATGCCATGGGCAGGGTCTATATCGTGATGGACAAGCCAGACAAGGCCGAGAAACCGAGAAGGGCTGATGTCAGTATTGCCATGGTCACAAGGTCGGATGTCCGTTAGGTGGATGATGTATAGCTTATACATGCTCCGATACCAATATAGCCACATTGGGGGATGGTTATCAGTCCATCAATACTTGGAACTTGGAGGGATTAACATATACATTTTTTCACGGATATTTGAATCTGAATCATCATTCATGTATGACAGCTGTATGCTGGATTAATGATGGATTAGTGATGATTAGTTTAATTTAATGTCATGAAAATAGCCATTTTTATTAGTCCATTAATCGATTACCCTCTGGTAAACATACAAAAAACTATGGAAAATCACCATGTTTAATGGGAAAATCCACTATTTCAATGGCCATTTTCAATAGCTATGTTAGTCATTACCAGAGGGTATATCGATTATGACATGATTATCCCTATGGATTGATGACAGCTGGCGAGGCCATCGAGGCTGTGGATCAAGCGCGAGAGATTGCTGACAGCCTGGGAGATAAGCGATGGAGCGCGTTCAGAGCTCAGAAAAACGATGACCTGGGTTTGCTGATAGGGTGTTTTTGAGTTTTCCCAATGGGAAAATCCAGAAAACTGAGGGAATCTGCAGGGACGATTTTTGTTGTTTTCTTAGGGTTTCAAAAAAGCAAATCCAAGATGAATTTCTTCTTTCTGCTGAAGGTTTTCATTCTGGGACTTGTTATATGTTCTTATGGTTGTTGCACTTTGGCATTGCTTCAGTAGGTACTGTAGTTTTACACGCAGCCCAGGAAGCTCCTCTTTGGAGTGGCACAGGCACACATGAAGGCCAAGGACTGAAGAGACTGAAGCGCATACACATGCACACTGCCTCTCCAAGAACGGCAGCCAGAGCTCTCTGCGAAGTTGTGGTTCAATAGCTGACTGGTCGAAATTGGAGACCTCTGAAATTTCGAAACGCCAACACAAACTGAGGGTTTGACATTTTGCCTATATTTGAGAGATTGACTGAGTGTGTGATGGGTTCTAACAGCCAACATCAGCCAACAAAGCAATCAGCGATGCGGCCGATGCGACCAGGACACCAATGAGGCGATCGAGACATTGGACAAGACCATTGGACTAGCTCAGGCAGCTGGTGATATGCAGGACTGATTTCCTCTGGCCCTGGAATGCCACCGGAAAAGCAACTCGTTTATCGCAAGAGCGACGCCTCTGGTGATATTTTGCAACTCACGATATGGTGCCAAGTACTGTAGTGCTTAACTTTTAAATGTTGGAGTGCCAATAGACATCAATAGACTCGTGCAGTGCAGTGCCAAACATGGTAATGAGATGTCAAGATAGGGTTCTGAGTTCTGGGGCTTGTTCGCAAGGAGACCTCACGATTGCAGCAGAACCTGATTGATGCACTGCTCTTTCGACAGAGGATGGGGCACCAAATCCCATGCCTGTCAGTCACTCGCAGGGAGGTTCAGAATTCCACGCAATCCGGATGTATGTTCCTGTGAAAATCGTGCATCATTCCACCCAGTAAATCCACATTCTCAGCTACACCCAAGTAGTTGTCCTCCATCGCAGGAACCCAAAAGCAGCTCTTCGAGTGGCAAAGGAAGCCCGGACGATGGCTCAAAAGAATGGAGACAAGCGCGCGGAAGCAATGCAGGGAATCCCAGATACTCTACAACCTACGCATTTTTTCCATGAGAGAAACTGTTGAAATATATGTTGGTTGCAAAACCCTTCAATTCATGATCTTGGACAATGATATGATTCTCAATTCGTGGTTGGCAACATGGTGAAAACACATAATCACCACTGGCAGAAGCAATTCCCGACACAGCTGACCTTGCTCTCGACACGATCTCAGGGCCCTTCTGCGAGAAGGAATGGCGCAGGGATCCATGGGCAAGAAAGATGAAGCGCTACAGCATCCTGGCGATTTTGAGTCTTTGATTTGTTGGTTTCCGGGGTTTCCTCACGGGGACCCCAATATGAATCATGATTGAATATGGGTATGGATCAATACCTATAGATACCATTTTTAGTGGGATGAACATCCATTTACCAGCTATTTTGGGGTTCACCAGGGGTACCAGGGGTTTTGACCCATATCCATATGATCTGAACATATCCGACAATTGTCGTCTCATAAATTCTATATAAGCAGAGAAACAAACGGTCTTGTGGTATCCCAATTTTGAGAAGCATCCGTTTGAAAGGCACAGTTTTGAGCTCAAAGATTATGTCAGAGTTGTTCACAGTGCATGGTAGCTCCACCATTATCATGACATTTCACGAAATCTGGCAGACTTCTAAGGCTGGCGAAACAGGCCCAGGAGTTGTTTCAAGAATCCTATTGGCCCCGTGGTGAGGCAAGGCCAAGAACTGCTGAACATGTGGTGAAAGTTGGCGAACTATTTAACTATTTTTGATTTGTTTTTCTTTGGATTTCAGTGGATTTCTTCCAGCTGGATATATCTGGATATATTGAAATCGCAGGACTTCGCTTCCGCAGTTTCAAGAGTTTCAATGGAGTATGTGCAGCATGACCGAAGGCTCAATGCCTTCACTTCATGGCTGATTTACGCCCGGAACACAGTAAGACTTCTGGACTGGATGGCATATTGGGATAGGAAGATACATTCTATATCAGTTATCTATCCATCATATATCAATTATATATAGTTACTTAGTTACGTATCTTATCAATATTTATCAATCAGATATATAATGATATATATATATATATAATCATATATATATACATATATATCTTATAATTCCTCTATCTATTTCCCATATTTTACCACATATTTTCCACATATTTTCCCCACGTTGTAAATCTATGGTGGCCAAGGCGCTCAATCGGGTGACCTCGATGCAGCGCTGGAATGTGCCGAAGAACGACTGGCCGTGCTGCGGGGAATCCACGACCTCTCCATGGAGGATGGGTTGGAAAAAAACGGGAACTTTTGGATGGTGAAAAATGGTGAAACATGGCAGTTTCACCAGAGTTTCACATGCTGAAATTGTGATTCATGACGTTGAATGTGGTTTTATATGGTTTAAGACTGGTTTTCAGAGTCGTGACGAGTGGTGATTAATGGAATTATGCTCCGGTGTCATCTAATATAGCTGGGAATCCCCGAACTAAAAATGAGCTATGAAAAAACAATGGAAGTGAGTGGGGGATCTTCCGGCAAGCCATGATAACCAGAGGGTACACCTGCTCTATTTAACTCAGAAGTGTTGCATAGATGTTTTCCTATTCTTTGGGTGTTTTTTTATCCGGCCACATTCCTGTTGGATGATGTTTCACATTGCAGAGTTGATCAGCTCACATTCTGTTGGTGATTATGGACAAGCACACACACACACACTCTCAATTCCAATCAATTGCATATGGATTCGCACTGTTGAGCAATTGAGCTTTTGAGCTTCCATAGTCGACATTGCTCAAGGCGGAAATTCGCAGGGACTCCCTTTAAAACTCAAACACGCTTTGCTGGAAAATCCACAGTTTAGTTCGATGAGTTTCCTAGATATACCATCTGGTTATTTAACATAGCCATGGAAAATGGCCCATTTATAGATGGTTTTCCCATTAAAACATCCATTTATAAGGGATTTTCCATGGCTATGTTAAATAACCAGATGGTAAACCTCCAGTTAGTTTGGGGATTTCCCTGAAACCAGCTAGGTTTCATGGGAGGGTTCTGGGGTACCCGGGTACCCCCTGCAGGCCAATGCGATGCTCCAACTGGCGCAGTTGCACATGAAGGAGACACGAAATGGGGCCACCAAGGAAAAACAAAGCGCCGATGGCATGATGCCTGAAGACCTATGGCATATTACCTGTCATGTAAACATCATCATTTACTATTATATACAAAAATAGACATATATTTATATTATTTTATATTCATACATGACATTCCATACTCCATTCTATACTATGATTTTTTTCCCATTCTAATTTCTTCCTTTTTCAGGCATTCTTTCCATTGGTTGATGGCTCCGGGCTCGCTGAAGAGGACGACAACTTTGAAGAGGCCGAGCGCCTGGCGCAGGCCTCTGCGACCTTGGGAAAGAAGGACCGAAATCCCAGGCGCCGGGGCTTCATGATAACATGATGTGTATAGCCACTGTATAGCATATATGGCATATACGATATTGACATATATTGACATACATAAAAAAATATATCATATTGTATCATATATGATGTAATATCTGTATGATATTATGTAACATATTCTATATGTATTTATTGTTTTTATAATGAATTATACATATACTAGTATATATACACACTTGAGCTGACACCGTCTCACTTAGGCTTTATCTTGAGAGTTGCATTTGAAATAGAACGCGCATGGAGGTGCATAGCGCTTGTGGGAGGATGTGGATGGGGTTACCCGCCAGGGTGCAAGTTGATGCCTTGCTCCTGTTCACTCAGCTGAACAACACCAAAGTGCTGGACAAGCCAGAGGACTGGCATTCATTACTAGTAAGGAAGGTTTGCTTTTTGATGGACTTCTCAAGATCATCTGGCAGGACAAAGCCATGAAGCCGATTATTGACCGGGCGGTGAGAACAGTGAATGAGGTGAGGGAATTGCTCTGAAAAGCCTAAACCAGCCTTGCATGCACACCGCAGCCTGCCACAGGCTTTGCAGGTTGCTGGTAAAGCTGAAAACCGATCATTGCGAGCATTGGTCCTGTTCAAACGGGCTGAGAGCCTGGGATTGAAAAAACCAGTCAGTTGCTGTCAGTCGAAAAAAATCATCCAGGATCATCCACCGATCACTGAGGACAATGGTTCTTGCTGGCAGGCCGGTCGGCGTAAGAGTCAACTCTGTCAGTGAACTCTTTGAATCTCTTTGACCTTGGGGCAGTTTTGGAAAGGGAACATCCATGAGAAAATATGAATGATACATATATATATATATTCACTGTATATACACATACATATACACATACATATATTAAATAAATAAATAAATAAATAAATAAATAAATATATATAAATATATATATATACACTTAATATACTACTGTAAGATGCAGCAGTGTGTAAACTTGGTTTCCCCCTTTTTTTGGCGGGGACAAGTTTGCGACATGAAGCAAGTTTGCATTCTGAAGTGTCAGAGAAAGCTGTCCCTTTTCCCAGGCATCAGACTGGCTTGAGGGATGTGAAAGAGTCAGCTGCAATCTTTGAGGCCGGCTTTTCCACAGAATGAGAAACAGTTTGGACCCTTCAGAGTTTTCTTGGATTCTGGGGTGACTTGATCTACGATTCTCAGACTCTGGGCCCTTTTTAGCATTTTTGTCGCCTCTATGGCTACACGTGTGGGGCTACGGCTAGGAGATGGATCACTACCAAGCTTTGGGCCGCTGCATGCTGCTTTCTGGCAACATCAAACATGCTTTAGGCGTGTTGAGCCGCTCTTGGTTAGTGCTACGTGGCTGCTGGAAGAGAGGTAACAACAATCTATTGAGCTGCGGAAGATCCTTTAAGCAAACCTTTTCACATCCTTTTCCGGGTACATGGGTGTGTCTGAAAAAAAATTATGGTGGACCTACCTCCCAGTCCAAATGAGTCTTTTTGTGGCACGATGAAGAAATGCTGTGAAGACCTGACCAGGTCAGGTTGAAGAGGGTGAAGCCGATGTCGAGAGGGCGGACATGATCGCCAAGGACATTGGTGACCATCAACTCGCGGACGAGGCACCAAGATGAGCACCTGGTGGAGATTTCACCAAGAGATAGCGACATATGTGACATTGTAATGTTGGTGATTTTCCGAGATTTTGCTGAAGTGGAACATGAAACACCAACACTCCACCATTTTTATGGATAACCCCCCACAATCATTCCATTATGTACATATCAGAACAAACTCCTGTGAGGTATTGAACTTCCGCAAAGCCCTCGACGAGAAGAAGAAAGAACAGGAACGGGCGGCTCAAGTGCAGCCCCTTGTTGGCACGGCGCTGCGACAGAGCGACCATGGCAATGAAATGCGGTGAAAAAAACATAAAAATTCCTTACATGGTGCTGGAAATGTTGATAAGTAGCAGCAGAGGGGTTTCTGATATTTATCTTCTCACATGTATTCGTAACGCAGCGAGTCCGAATTGAAGGCAGTAACGCTTGGCATCAATTGTTGTCAATTGGCACCGACCAGTCCTATGGATCCATTTCCCTACTGGTATTTCCCTGGAGTTGTGTCACCACCCATTTTGTGGTTGTCGGAAGTTGTCGGATGGTGGATCTCCATCGGACCAATAAAGCCAGCCAGCTGTTCCATATCTTCTTTGAATCGCACTTCACATGAAAGAAACTACACACACCCACATTCGGATCATTGTGCATCTCCTATAAACAGGGTGTTTCTGCTGCAATCTTTGGAGTTCCTCCTACCCCCAAAATCTCAGCTTTCTGCTTTACAACATCAAATATAATCCTTTTCAGTGAGAGCTTTAGCCATCAAGAAATTAGGGCTTCCCAACACTGCCCAACATCAAAATCATGTTGAAATGAAATAAGGTAGACCTCAAATTTGATGGTTGATGATCATTTTCCATAAAAAAGGGGCAATTTTGGGGTACACCTCTTTTTTCAGATCAACGTTCCGCCGAGGATCGAGCAGCCCCAGCTGATGGCACCAGTTCCGGGAGCTGCTCCAACTGCTGCGCCAGTGGTGGAGTCGGTGGCTGCGGTGCCGGAAGCAGAAGGCTGTGATGTGAGAAAGATGGGACATTGGGGCATTTCTCCACCCAATTTTTGGCAATTTTAGTGTGGAAAGATGATGAACCATTATAAACCATTGGATTTTTGAGGGCACCCCCTTGCTGGACGGAACGTTTTGCGTGATTTTTGCAGTATTTTTGTTGGCACAGGATCTTTAATTGCAACTTGTTGGCTTTTCCCAGCTTGCAGCACACCCCTTTGCAAGGGCTTGGATCCCGCCTACGTGCGCAAATCGCTAGCTGCCATGGTCAAGGTGCGCAAAGAAACCAGATGAAACCAGTGAATCAGTGAAAAGATGAGGCGAAAACAGCTAAAACAGCTGCAAGCCCATGACCAAACCATGCCAAATCACTTTTTTGAAATCACATTTCTAAACATTTGACTGTCTTAAAATCTTTTAAACATGTCGAAGATCCGAAGATCCTCAGGATGCCATTGCCAGTGACGAAGAGCTGGAACTCGACAGTCCCTTCATGGATGCTGGTATGGACAGTCTGTCCAGTGTCGCACTCATGAGCATGGTGGCGAAGGACATTGACCCATGGATCCCATGGTGCTTGATGTTTTCTTTTTTTTGAAACATGTTTTTTGAGATATCATAAGAATCATAAGACACAATCACTGAATCGACCTTGTTTTGGGCTTAGAATCGCTGGTTTCATGGAGTTTGGCCAGCATTTGTTGCAATCCAATATGGCCATGGGATGCCATGGGAAGCCTCAACCAGAAGCTGTTGATCCCTGCATGTCGTTTCTAAACGACATGGCTGGGATTCCCCCGGATCATCCAGAAAAACCCACGATGGATCATTCTTCCAATGGAAAGTGAATGAAAATAATGAACATAATATATATATAATTACATATATATATAATTATATATATATATATTATATTATATATATTATAATAGATTTTAAAATAATACATGTTTAATTCAAGGCCTCTAGGCATTGCATGGAGATCATGGAGATCATCTCGTCACCAGGAGTTCCAGATGGCCTTGAGCCCATCATTGGTTTTCGACTTCCCCACGCTGAGGCGAGTTGCGAGTTGCGTTTTTGTTGACATATGGGGATGGGTCAAAACCCCTGGTACCCCTGGTGAACATCAAAATAGCTGGGATTTATGGATGTGAATAACCCACTAAAAAAGGTATTAATATAGGTATTGACCCATACCCATATTTTGACCAGTCCACGAAGCAGCGAAGCACAGAGTCGGAGATCGTGCTTGTGCCAGGGCAATGGAGGAGCATTTGGTGACAGAGAGCTTGGCCATGTAGATTTAGAAATTATGGAGCATAGGATCCGCTTGGAGGATCCACAGTGGAGGATCCACATTGGAGGATCCATGCGTTAAAGGTACAAAGCTTGGAGGAACCGCACTGCTGCACCAAATCTTCCCGCATGTTGCCATGCTAAAAGCCATCACATTGACAGGGAACCTGTCGCTTCTTCGACTGCCTTCAGAAAAAGATGACTGTGGTTTGCATACGGGTGCACGTGAGGTACATCAAACTGGATTAATTACTTACTCTGCATCAATTTGCAAGATCATTTCGATTCAGCCATGATTCATTGCTCAGTGCAAGAGTTGCCAAAAATTGCGCAAGGTTCAAGATGATAAGTTCGAGCGATGTACTACCCTTTATACATCTGGGATTATCAAAATATTATTCCCCTCTTGGCTAGTACCATAGCCTAATAGCCTTGATATGCCTTGATATGCCTTGATATATTGGAGTTCCCACAGAAATCCCGCAATCTGTGCGGAAACTCAGCTGCTGTGGCTCAACTTCTGTCGCGTCCTGCGCGGAGTCAGCCAAGTCATGGCGTTCTTTCGCAGCGTTCGCCGCTGCGCAGAGAAGGCGTCGCTGGTCAGAAAAAAGGACACCTCGAGAGCCCATATGCTTTTGGGGTGATGCAGCAAAATTGCGATTTTGATGCATTTCAAAGGTGGAAAGATGTGGAAAGTGATGATACACCAAGTGATTCCCGGGGCAATTTTTGAGACGATATATTTGAGGAGTGAGCCTGTTGCAGGTGCCTGATGTCTTCATGCAGTTCGGCTTGGAGCAGCAGTTTCGATTTGTCAGTGATGATCTAAGTCTGACACCTGCTGCAGGCCTAGGCCAGCCATAGATTTTCACCATCTTATAACCCCTGCTTCAGGTCACCCTGGAATCTTTGTCGTCTCCAAGCTCTTGGAAATGAGGACTCAACGATACGGACGATACGAGTTTGCTGAGTTTTGCCGCGTCTCTGGGATGATTTCAGCAATCTGAACTGGATGGGCAGATTCCCCTGAATGATCTGCGTCACGGAGGACTATTTCATACATGCGCGCTTCATTTACTCAGGACTGCCGGCGTAGCAATTTCTTGATGAGATTGCACCTTTTCTTAAACAAGTTCAATCGCAAATGTGTCTCTTTGATTAAGTTTCCTTTTTTGGTCGATACTTGTTGGTTATCCACTGTGATGTCACTTCGGGTGATCCGCATTTTTTTTAAGTGCCATCCTGTCGTACTGGGGGTGTCTTGGGCAGGGTGGTGGCATTTTGATTTTGTTGTTGGTGTCCTGGTTCACTTAGGATAGTTAGGGGTAGGAACGATCTTGGTTTCACGAACCCACAGCAAGGTCCGATCTTTTGCTGGAGAAATGCTAATGATCAAAGATTTTAAGCATTTGTCGCTAAGTTCCAAGTGGAATAAGATGAAGGTCTTGGTGGCAGGCGGTAATTTCCAACTCACATTGGTTTGGAAGGCATTGCGATCCATCATATTGTTTCGTTTTAAATCGTTTTAATTGATTTTCATCCTGGTTACAGCCACCATTTGAGAATCGGTAAGCAGTTGCGGAACGTGGTCTGTTCAATCCCTGTGCAAGATCCATTGTGCTTTCATGGCTTTCCCCACCAATCTGCAAGCTTCGAATTCTTAGGGTCACAATGGATCCAACACGATCCAATATTCTGCGTGTACTGCGATAGAGGAAAATATCGAGAAGATGAAGTTGTTTGACCCTGAGCTTGCACGAAAAGCCCAGATCGCTTATGACAACAAGGCGCTTTCTGGACATTTCGCTGAGGGTTCGAGATAGTATGGTTGTACGTGCCCAGCTACCATGGATCTTCCAGGACATGTGAGGAATTTTCCCGATGGTTGGTGATGGTTGCGTGGTTTAACTTAGACTCAGAGGGTATTGTAATATATATATATATTATATACATATATATATATATACATGTCCCTCGGGCGGACGTTCGCCCAACGTTTCACTGGGGGTTTAGTTGCGTTGTGATTCGTTCAGGATATGTTTCAGATTGTTTCAGGGTTTGCTTAGGGTTGGTTTAGATTTTTTAAAGGCTTATTTAGGGTTTGTTTTGTTAATTTTCGTTCTATTTAGGGTTGTTTTAGGGTTTGCTCACGGTTGTTTTAGGGTCTAATTAGGGTTATTTATGGTTGATTTAGGGTTGGTTTAGGGTTGTTTAGGGTTTATTTAGGGTTAGGTTATTTTGGTGTTCTTTCAAAGTCTTGCGGTTTGCTGAGGTCTGAGTTAACGGTTTGAAACATTGCAAATTATGGAGGATATCTTTAAGATACGCTTCAAAAGGTGATTTTGGCACCGTCTTAGGTAAGCGCAAAAATGCCAAGAGACGCAGGTAATATCAATATTTTGCATCCTCGCAGCGTGCGAAAAACACGCACGGAAACAACACAGCAGATTGCAGTCCCGCATGGATTTCCGTAGATTTCGGGCAAAGGTCAGCCCCCTAGCGATATATATATATACATATTAAAAAACTATAATATATATATATATTATATTGAAATATTATATAAAATATATATACACATATTGTAAGTCTTTTGATTGTAGAATAGTTCAGCTCTCCACTGTTCATCTAAAAAACTACTGCGAATTCCAGAGTTGAGACCTCCACCGCCGAAATGGTCCATGGTGGAGAAACAACGCCTCTGTTCCACCGCCGAAATGGTCCATGGTGGAGAAACAACGCCTCTATGTCACTATGTTCTCATGAAGATTGCGCCATTCCGTGTCCCGTTTTTTAAAGCCACGCCCAAATGGAAAGACCATCCATTTTGGCCTCCATCTCCGCTTGGCACGCCAGCTTCCTGTGAACTTTGAACAGCTGGAGCTGATTGAGGCATTTTTAGGGAGCTCGGGGATGCGTAGATGGCATAGATTTGGGACATTTGGGGACTGAAAGCAGTGACCCCGTTGAATGACTTCTTCCTTGAAACACATTTTGAGTTGCGATGACAGTGTTGTGATGTTGCCTTGGGGCAAAGGTCGATACCAGAGGGATCTCAAAGAATTCCCAAGGGATTCCATAGCACTGTGAGCAGCAACAGTTTCTACGGACTCGTGATACGAACTCCAAATACGAGCAAGTTAAGGCAGTGGTCAGCAATATTTGTGCTGTAAGACCTCCTGTGATTGATTTTGACATACTACTAGTATATCCATGAATGTATTCATTTGCTATATGCCTTTTGCCTTTGTAATCCTTTCTATATCTACAGGTACATAATATTCATCTCGATACCCCGCAGCTTTGAAACCACCAGCTTCTGCATGTTGCTTTACGTCCCGCGCTGAAGTGTGAAGCTTTTGGTTCGCTATACGGCCCAGACGGCCCATCGTTGCACAGGACATTTTGCCACGTTTGCTGGAGGAAAAGAAGCAGCTCGAGGTGGTTGCGGTGGCTGTATTGGATTGAACCAAGCTTTGAGTCTTTGAGCAACAGCAAAATCGGCATCAAGTAGCACCAATTATCAATCAGATCATCAACATTCATCAACAATATCAATCATTTTCAATGGCATCCACACCAGTCAACATCCACCAATGTCCATTTCTCCATTTTGTTGGCTGTCACATAAAAAAAACTCAGAACCTGTCGGAGAGGCCGCCCGTGCTGAAGTGGCCAAGCTTCCTGTTGGCGGGCCTTATGAGATGCCGAAGAACTTGGATGTTTCAAACTCAGACAATGAAGCACCGGCCAAAAAACGTGAAGATTGTCTGTTGAACAGGCACCACTCCCATCTGTGTTGCAGTGAACTCACATTTGTTTTCAGGCGCTATGAGGTCCTGACAAGACAACAAAACATGCCATGCAGGTCAGCGCCTGCCGCCCCGTTCCTGGTCAGAAGGACGGCAGATGAACATCAGCGGAGCAGGTTGACAGGTAAAAAGTGCCGCAGTTGTGCAGAGTGCTTCTGGCGGTGCATTTTGCCAGGATATTCAAGGAACTATGCTCGAATTGCGAGAGGCAGACATTTGTAGCGCAAAAAATTGAGACACTTGCTGGGCAATCCATCAACAATGCTGCCAGGCGAAGTTTCCAGGAATGATGGCACAGGCGCTGGGAGGGCAGCCACAGCGAACATTTGAGAAGCCGCGCTTTGCTGAAAAGATGCACATCCTGCCGTCCTTGGTGTATTCTAAGTGCCGACTTCATATCACCAGCTCCGCATCTCCGCAGCAGCTCTACGGAAACCTAGAGTTTCAGCTGCAGGTGAATGAGGGTGTCAAGGATTCCTTGGAGAAAGCCAAACTCCCAGGCAAAGCCAGCACCGCAATTCCGGTGCCATCCTCAGAGTTTTCTGTAAGAACAGTATAGACTAGAACAGTCAGGTGGCTTTGTCTGAAAGTTTAGGGAAAACCATCCGAAATCCATTGGTAAATAATGTTTATAATATATAATAATAATAATAATAATAATACTAATAATAATAGTAATAATAATAATAATAATAATAATAATATATATATATACACACACCAAATTTTCAGACAAACCCAGGTATCAGAAGGTTTTTCGCCTTTTTGGAGTCTCTTCATTGATTTGTGTGTTCTTCATACATGGCATGTGCCAGGCCGCTAAGAAGTGAGTGCACCGCGATGGGCACCCTGCGAAACTTTCGTAGCAAAGTGGCATTGGTTTTGTGAGTGCTGTATGGATGACAACGGATGACCCACGATGACCCTCAGTCACACAAGGAAAGATGAGGAAAGTAATGAAAAGTATAGAAAAGATACTGAAAACATCTGAAAACCATGATCATGAAGATGCACGTGGAGCAATGCAGTAAGCCTGACAAGAGTCACAGCATGGAACGAAGTCTCGGTGCTGGACAAGCGCTGTAGATTTTTTGATGCTCAGGCCAAAGGGTGAGAAACTGATACGTAGACCCTGCAATGAAACCAGGGAATACATGAGAATACAATATGACATACTCAAATAGATGATATGAAAGTATATCAAGTTGTTTCAGCGATTTGCCTCTGAGCATTCCTAGATTTGTTTTGTGAAGGCGCAGGGAAAAGGAATACAGTATCACGCAACGAGCCAGCTCTTGTTGGTTTGTGAGGTTTGTGCATATTCATCTTTGAAGGTACATCCCAGGTCAATTTGCAAGAGAACCATTCCCAGCATCAAGGTGACTTTGAGCAGTTTCCGTCACCTGGATTCGACTTGATCCAATCTCGGAACTCTTCGACCTTTTCACTCCCAGGTTCTTATGCTCGGAACATTTACTTGGGGCCAAACATATCCATCATATCCAAAAAACAATAAAAAACATGGTTTCCTGCAGATTTCCCCTTACCATCGTTGCCTGAAAGCCATTGGTGCTCAAACAACGAAGAGTTGTGGCACTTGGCCTGGGTCCCCATGCGAGAGTCTCAGCAAGTTTTTGTCGGATGAATCAACAGATTGGTTGCAGTTGCAAGGAAAATCACAGAAAATCTATAGGAAACCAAAGGAAATCCATGGTGTCTTTTTAATTTTCGGATGTTTTTGGATGTTTCTGGATGTTTTTGGATGCTTTGGCCCCTATACATTGCAAGGTTTCCTGCAGATTTTTATCCTTTAATTCTGGGAAGCTGGCTCGTATGGAAAGATGTGATCAACGCTCTTCTGAAGATTTCTGCAGAGTTTCCTCACTGGAGCTTCAGTTGCGAGGCGTGGGCGGGATTGAGATTGCCGGATGCACCATATCAACTTCCGAAAGGCGTGCTGTGCATCTGCGAACATGGTGCGATTTGACTTTCAAACGATCATGTTCTACCTGTAGTAGCCCTCAAAAAGATGGAAGCGTGACTATTTCTTTTCTGTTTTACCCGGCTGCTATATATTTCTGTTTTGAGGAGCTTTCAAAAGCAAGACATAAACAACCCTGCTCCTTCCAGTCATTCAACGCCCACTGAACCTTGGCCGGAGAGTCTGCCCCCTGCATAGGTGGGTGATGGTACCGGCCGCGATATGTATATCGTGAAGGACCGGCAGAGTGTGGACTTTGAACCACTTTGATCCGAGAGATGCTACCTTGCATAGTGCTGTTTCTCTTGACAGGCTGCTATCCCAGTTGGCTGTTTGGAAGCTTTCTTTGACCAGGAGCAGGTTGCCCTGCGAGGCAAGGAAAACTTCCTTGGAATGCCCGCTTTCCCAGTTGAAACACAAGCCTGCGGTGCAGCCGGTAGTGTGCGCGGCCTTCCAAGATGGTTCAGTTATGTTCAATTGGCATTCACCCTGCATCAAGGTTTTGTTGCAGTCTCAATCTCCCTCTCACCAGGGGTGATGTTTGTAAAGTTTGTTCTGTATGGGTCGAATTTGAGAGCAGCGATTCTGCGAGATTCTGCGAGATTCTGCGAGATTTCGGTGAGTTTTTGGGCCCAAGTCGCCCCAGACTCCGAGGAAGGGAACATTGCCCTTCAAGCACTTGGATTTTCGAGTTCACGATCCCCCACCGTCAGAGCCTCATTGCACAGTGATTTGTGGTCAAATCATTTCACTTGATTATTTGACAGGTTGGTTAATCACGCTTGTATAATCATCTTTTTTTCCCATGATCTAAACAATTGCAAGTTTCCAATACTTTCCCCATTCAAACGGCCACATATTGGGTTCACTCCCATTTTGAACATTGCCTTTTCCATTGAGCCACGGCCGTTTTTCAGGCCCAAGACGCAAAGAGCTAAGCCATCACAGCGACGTGGGGGCAAGGCATGGCCTCTCAGCCTCCATCCGCAGGACGACTGAACCGACTTGAAGCAGATGTCGTTGGAAATTGGGCTAATTTAACATGTTCGCCCCAACCCGGACGCTGCTCCACACTTACAATAGTCATCATCATCATCATCATCATCATCATCATCATCATCACCACCACCATCATCACCATCATCAGCATCAGCATCAGCATCATCATCATCATCATCATCATCATCATCATCATCATCAGCAGCATCACCATCACCATCACGATCACCATCACCATCACCATCACCATCATCATCATCATCATCATCATCATCAGCATCATCAACATCATCATCATCATCATCGTCATCGTCATCGTCATCGTCATCGTCATCGTCATCATCATCATGATCATGATCATGATCATGATCATCATCATCACCATCATCAATCATCAATCATCAATCATCAATCGTCATCGTCATCGTCATCGTCATCGTCATCATCATCATCATCATCATCATCATCATCATCATCATCATCATCATCACATCATCACGTCATGATCATCATCACATTAAAATTCGGCACCCCCTCTGAACAATATTTTGGCTGGGGCAAAAACATCAACTTTATGTTGATTGGGGTAATAACATCAACTTTATCTTCATAGCCACCTGAAGTCAGACGCGGCGCAACGTCAGGGTTGCAGCGAACATGTTTTAAGCAAACATAGTTTGGGGTAGAATGGAATGTAATTGGATATTAATGGATATTATATATAATATAATATTATCTATTCATTTATAATATATATATATATATATAAAATGAGGTATATTATATAGATGTGGTTTTGGGTTTGTCAAAAAATAGTGGATTTTAAGTAATTTTACATAACTATTTAACGAACATAGGTTTGGACACTTGGCTGCAGCGGCACGGCTAGCGCTTCGCCCTGTGTGACGGTGAAACAGTCCGCGATATATAACTATTTAACAAACGAGAGGTGGGGTTTAAGTGGATATACTGTTATATATCTATGGCCAACAATGCAATATTGTTTTGGGGGTTGCCTGAAAATGGGGTATAACCACCAAACCTTGGCAAATTTACTAGGGAAAATGATGGTAAACCATTAGAAAAAAGGTTACGCATGGTTACGCAATTTGCAGATAAACCCACGTGTCATCATGGCTCTGTCTGTAAGTCCATGATAGTTCCTGAAGTTTTGCATCCATAGCCCATAGCAGAAGGGTATTTACAGGATTGAATCCAAGGCTGGCGATAGTCAGCCAGGACTACCGCCGGGTCATGGAATCAAAAGAGCACAGCCCAGCGGGACTCCATTGGTCTGGGCGGCCCAGAAAATTGACAACTGCAGCCTGGTGACGGTGGCGTAGTTTTGTCAAGTTGGGGTGAAATCGCGCACCACAGTGGTTTTGGAGTTGGTCAGGTAGGAGAGTCTGGGCAGACCTGGGGCAGACTGGTATCAGGTGACATCACAAAGCATCTAGAATCTAGTCGTGATCCGCAGTATCTAGTGTTATGGTGATGTGCTTGTGCCCAGATGCAACAAAGCCCGGAATCTCACAAGCACTAGGACACGAGAACCTCCCCAAAAGCAAACACACCACGGTTGAATGCGATGGACTTCTAAGACTTTGTCGTTGCATCGTTGCATCGTTGCAGGGCAGGCGGTGCTGTTTCCATGGCGCCAAAGATCAAGGCCCAGAGATGCCAGCAGAAGTCATGCCTCGTGACTCAAGATCTGATTGGACACGACTGGACACGTCAGGTAGATTCTAGCAGAGCTGTTTGTGGCTTCGTGCTTGAGATCAACCAGGCGCTCGATCGGCTGAGTTAGCTACTTGGAAATTTTGGACCCTCCTGGGCAATGACCCGCTTGTTAATGGCGCAGTGCTTCTGTCGGACTTGCATGGTGCACACATGCGAGCCCATGCGAGAAATCTTCATGTTGAAGAGTCCGATCCGGCTGCGTGACCCTGCGTCTTCGCATCGCAGAGCGATGATGGATGCAGCGCAAAGTTCGCTCAGTGTGTGCCAAGAGATCTTGGACAAAGAATCCGTTTTCAAAAGGTCTCTGTGTGAATTCGGCGCGTGGCTTAATTGTCATGGTTCTCGATAGGCTTCGCAAGAGAGCAATCCATGATGCCTCTCATACGTGTATGTGTGTATATATATAATATTCGGTAAATACATGAGCATACCGTAACATACCAAAGGCACTGTTATTTATGTTTTTTCGAACGATTGTCCCCAAACTGTTGTATTTCTGTGCGGGAATGACTTTATTATATCCTCCGTGTGCGTTTTAACCGCGGGTTAGCCTGCTTCTTGCTGCAAATTCACGTAGTTTGTTTTTTGCGGTTTTGGTCTGCCTGCCAGATATGCTGACGAACCATCATGGTGTGCTGCCTTTTTGGCTGGCTGAATTCAGTATTTTGACAAAAGCAAAAAAGGGACTGGATGTCAGAATGCATGAACAGCAGTCGGCCTAAAATTCTTGATGTTGACGCTTTGGGCATGATTGTTGCGCAGAAGCATCTTGCACCAGGCCTCCGAAGACGTCAGCAACTCTTGTTTTTTCCCAACAGTAAGGCTTCCCTTTCAAACACATTTTCCTTTCCAATGTTCAAAACCCATGCTGTAGCAAAGTTTACGCAAAACCGCTTAGCCAAATAATTTCAAGTAGATTGTAATCACCTTCAGAACCCTCGATGGCATTGCAAGCATCTAGCAAAGGACTGGCAACCAGCTGTCACCGAACGCAATCTGAAAGCAGAGTCTTGATTACACGATACAAAACTCAACCCGCTCAACCTCTGCAGGAGCTCCTGTATGGCAGTCCTGAGGAGGGGTGGTGTTGGGAGTCTTGGGAGCAGTTTTTCTTGGAGTGGTCAGTTTCTCATAGTTTCTCTAGGAGATGATAAGTGGAAATCCAACATTCTCACCGTGCAGGACACTGCGAAGCAGTCATGGAGAAATCTGCCAGCCAGGACCCTCAACTTTCAAGGGTATGATTAAATGGGGGAGGTTTTGAATGTGTGATATATGCCATTACATACCAGCAGAATCCAGTAGATATCCACGCCGCATTATTGTTTGTCCCCATCTTGTATCCCTATTCTAAATTTCAAGTGGCAATAATTATCAACCATCATTTAGGAAAATACCCGATAATCTCCAATAATCTCGGATAATTCCGAACAACTCCTAATAATCCGTAACAATCCCTACAGTAATATCAAATGATTTTTATTGTAATGATCAATTATGGGGATATTGGGGATACTAGGGATGATCGTGGATGATCATTATACGAGGAATCCCTAGTAATCCCCAATAATTCAAGATGATTTCTATCCCCCAAAATATCAAATGCTTATTGCAATCATTCCTATCCCAAAATATTCAAAATACCCTTTGGTTATTTAACATAGCCATGGAAAATGGCCCATTTATAGATGGCTTACCTATTACACATGGTGATTTTCCATGGCAAACTGTTAAATATCCAGAGGGTATATCCCATCCCCCATGCTCCTCTCCGAGGTTCGGATCTGCGAGGTGGGAGAGGCAATGTCGTCCGGTGCTCGGGTGCGAAGGTCGTGGCGTCGTGATCTGGTGAAACCAAGGCCATAAATCTCCAATTCTTTGGGGGGAAAGCACAACATCATAGAACATATAGAACATCCATTTCTGGAACAGTCACTGGGGGATGGTTGGGAATAAAATCCCAATAAAATCCCAATAGTTATCATCCAGTACAATCATCTCAGTATCATGGGGGGGTGGACGCAGACTCTCAAGGCACCTGTCGGCCAAGCGCGGCATTTTGGTCAGGCACTTTCTGTGATGGATCAAGGGTGTTATGGCCAGTTTACTAAGCTGTAACGCATCATTAAAATGTATCGGAGATCAGACACTTCAAGACACAGAACTCTTGGAAACTTGGAATATCTTCAGAATTGTTAATGGTAGAAAAAGATGAATAGGAGGTTCTCAACTGGATGAGGAGGCAGGTTCTGGCTGACTCGCACGACCTCGGTCACTGTTGCACAAGGGTTCTGTGTCTTGCAGGACGAGGAAGAAAACGAGGACGAAGAGCAGGCCTAGGAATTTACTGTATGCCAGTCTGATTTTTCCTGACTGAGCTTTGATTTGGCCCTTTAGAGAGCGTGCAACCTGCAAACATTCACCGAACATGGAACATTACGATGACGATGATGATGACGATGACGATGACGATGACGATGACGATGACGATGATGATGGATGATTGATGATTGATGATGATGATGATGATGATGATGCTGCTGATGATGATGATGATGAGGATGACGATGACGATGATGATGGATGATTGATGATGATGATGATGATGATGATGATGATGATGATGATGATGATGATGATGATGATGATGATATGACGATGATGATGATGATATGATGATGGTGATGATGATGATGATGGTGATGATGATGATGGTGGTGATGATGATGCTGATGATGATGATGATGATGATGGGAATGACGATGACGATGACGATGGCCATGACGATGATGATGATGATGACGATGGTGATTGTGATGATGATGATGATGATGATGAGGATGGTGATGGTGATGACGATGACAATGACGATGACGATGATGATGATGATAATGATGATGATGGCGATGACGATGACGACGATGATGATGATGATGATGACGATGACAATGACAATGATGATGATGACGATGATGATCATGATGAGGATGGTGATGACGATGACGGTGATGATGACGATGACTATGATGATGATGTTGATGATGATGATGTTGTCGATGATGATGATGATGATGATGATGATGATGATGATGAGAATGATGACGATAACGATGACGATGAAGATGACGATGATGATGATAATGATGCTGATGGTGATGGTGATGACGATGACGATGATGATGATGATGATGACGATGACGTTGATGATGATGATGATGATGATATGATGATGGTGATGATGATGATGATGGTGATGATGATGATGATGATGCTGATGATGATGATGATGATGGGAATGACGATGACGATGACGATGACAATGACGATGAGGATGAGGATGAGGATGATGATGATGATGATGATGATGATGATGATGGTGATGACGATGACGATGACGATGATGATGATGATGATTATGATCATGATGATGATGATGATGATGCCGATAACGATGACGATGACGACGATGATGATTATTATGATGATTATGCTGATGGTGATGGTGATGACGATGGCGATGGCGATGATGATGATGATGATGATGATGATGGTGATGGTGATGGCGACGACGATGACGATGATGATGATGATGATGACGACGATGGCGATGACGATGACGACGACGACGACCACGACGAGGAGGATGATGATGATGATGATGACGATGACGACGAGGACGGCGATGATGATGACAATGACGACGACGCCGACGCCGACGCCGACGCCGACGACGACGACGACGACGACGACAACGATGATGATGATGATGATGATGATGATGGCGTTGACGATGACGATGGTGATGATGATGATGATGACGATGATGATGATGATGATATGATGATGATGAAGATGATGAGGATGATGATGGGAATGGTGATGACGATGGCGATGATGATGAAGATGACGATGATGATGATGATGAGGATGACGGTGACGATGATGATGACGATGGTGATGCTGGTGGTGGTGGTGGTCTTGCCTACTGGACCTTGTTCATCTCACACATGTACTTTGGCCTGTCAGTTAAGCGTTTCCAAAGCACTGTGGGGAGCTGAATGGCAAGATCAAACAAGCAGTGGGGTGAATATGGTGAATGTTGCCGATTTTCTGGATGGTTTCCAGCCTGAGGCTGGACTGTCTCAAAGGATGTCCAGCCGGCTATCTAAATAGAGTTGTGCTGCACTTAGCAAATTTCGGCATGGCATTTCAGCATGATGTTCCTTCGGTACTCGTACATGCGAATTGCAGCTATGGTGAGTCTCGTCAAGAATTGTTTCTCCTAGTTGAACATCCGTACCCTTGCGTTCTGATTAATGTCGCGCCACTCTCGCGTACACAAACATAAATTGCCCATGATTCTTGCAGATTTTGATCTGGATGCGCTTTAAGCAGACAATAGCCTCAGTGAACTTGGGAATCTAGCATTTGATAGCGTCGACTGGTGAGACAGTGCGTCAGCGCATGTTTCAGCAAAACCTGCGTAGATCTTCATGGCACGCGGAACTTTACCCTCAGTTTTTGAAAATGAGGAACATGATGAATCCCAAAACTGCAGCCACTGCCACAAACATCAGACCCTCGATGCTATATTCATCTATATTCCATGATATTCCTATATATTCCTTCAATCGCCTTTCCACTCCCTTCCTGCAGCATGCCTACCTTATTCCTTGAGTGCTGCAACAGAGCAGCAGTGTGTGAACAATGAGGCGAAATGCCCGCTCTGCATACCTGGCCTGTGGATTGAGCAGACTTGTGCCTGGCGGGTGCATCAGAGGACGATAGACAATCCATGAAAGCAGCATTGTCGACTTCTCGTGTGCAATTCTTATAGTAGGCAGCTTTCCGATGTTTGACTGCCTGGAAACCTTTGTCCCAGTACCTTCAACGCAGACACAGCACGATCATGTTTTCAAGACTGCAAATTGTGCCTACCAGTTATATCCAGTTATTGCATTGTATAGCAAGCCAGGCATCTTTCTCCTCATGCAAGTTTTTGTTGGAATTCTTTGTGGAGCTATGTTCAATGGTTGGGCCGGAGACTTTGGATATCTATGCGCTGCAGAGAAAATTGATATTTCGAATCGCCATTCCACCAATTGTTACCATGATCATCACCAGACTGCCAGTGCAATTACACTCCAGTTGTTCTCGGTAAGATTACCGAACAGCCGAACAGTCTAGACTTGGGATGGTGTTGAGAATGTCATGTGGTCTTGGTGCCTAAGGCCGTTAATACGGACTTCGAGGATTTTCTTCAAGCGAGCACGGAGACTTCCGTGTATATTTCTCAGAAGCTGTAACGGTCGATGAGTTCAGTCTACCTTCCAAAAAGAAATGGGGCGGAAAACAGCCGGATCTTAGGCAGTATGACGCCGTGCAACAAGCATGGGCGGTGCCAGAAGGCAACGTGGGACCTGGGGTTTGCATCGCAGTTTGAAATTCTCTGACAACATCTCTCAATGACAACAACCCATCAATTCGTTGTTGGCTTTTTGCACTTTGTCTCCAGACTTGTATTCATCAGCTGTCTTGAAAACAGAAGGCTTTTCTTCCAAAAATTCCTCATGAGTTTCATAGTGGCTGATTCGAAAGCTGCTTGATAACTTGAACACGCTGGGCACGCCAAGCAGTGGAACATAGTGAAAGCGCAATCGGAGCTCAAGCCACCCTGCCCCTATTTACCAGTATCATATATATTATTATTTTACCGTGTTATGTATATATATATTATTATTATATCTGTATAATGTGGGAAACCCAATCCTGTAAACCATCCCCACTATTGCAATAGATGGGTGGTAAATGTCATCCCCAAATGGTAGGCTTATTATTGGGTCTACCACACCACCTGAAATGCTTCTCATGCTTCTCACCTGGAAAACGCCCAGCTCGGCGGCTTCAAGAAATCACGTGGAGCTGGAGGCACTCCTGGCACAAATTTCGCAAGGGAGACAAGGGCACGATACAACACGGGGAAGAAATAACAATGATTCTGATTGGTTGATAAACCATGAATAATTCACACCTAATAACTTATTAGTTGATAATGTTGATAAACCTTGTAAATGAATGTAACTGACATACTCACCATGCTGAACAAAGCTCGCAGTTCATATTCTCGGGAAGTGGTCTAGTTTTTTTTTGGGATCTGATACGCGAACAGATCAAACTTGGTGCTCATTCCAATGGCGGAAAGCACCGTGCCAGGCATACTGGAGTAACAGTGGCCTACTACAAAGAGAGCGGAAATGTGCTGGAGGCACAAAGGGGGAGAAAGGTGGGCTGGGGTTGAAAAGTTATATAGGTTTGTCAGGGGACAGCAAGTAGTGCTTCGTTTGCTGACTTTTACTGATCTTTGTGGAAGGACTTTCAAGGCATTGCTTTCATTGGAAGACCAACATGGTTTGATTTTGTATTCCGCAGGAGGAGAATCTCCTGGCAATCCGGAACTTTGAGCATTGGCTACAGGCCTTTGCCACTGAGAGAGACACAGACAAGGGTTTTGCCTTCAACACTGGGTGTATTGCAGTACACATAATATATATATAATATGTGTCATATAATACATATATATATGTAATACATTGTAGTATATTATATAGAATTATATATATATATACAGATACATTCTAGATGCATCTTTTAATTCTTCATATGGATCAAGGCCATCCAATTCCACAGTCGTGTGAGGCCAGCGCAGCTTGGCAGGAGGCATGTGGCCTGGCCGTGACTAGCCAGGACCCCTTGGCGCGTTGGTTGGTTTATTGGGGAGGCATCATTCAAAATCACAAGGATTTAACGCACTTTATGGATCTTTATGGATCTTTATGGGGAGAATTCAACTGGCTTTCGAACTCAAAAACATGGGGGTATATGTATCATGGCTGACGTTGAATACTTGTCACAATCGTCTGCATCGTCTGCAAAAGGAACACATCATTTGGGCAGTTCCATCCACATTTCCTGAGATTTCTGGCAGCAGGACGCTGCTTTGACCACTGCAACTCAACAATATAGCGCGCGACCCAGTCTCCCAGGAAGAGAAGAGTACCAAATTTGCTCAGCTGATGTAGGCTATTCTTCGCACTTATCCAGAGACCACCAGATCCAGCCCAATCAGATCTAATCAGATCCAATCAGGTAGCATCATTGAAGTGCCAGGACCGACCCTTCTCTTTTCTCTTTCCAAGGCTGTTCACCGGGAGAGTCCTTGGTGAACTATGTTTGGTTGGCAGCTTGGAGGGTTTTGTTGCCAGCTTGGCCGATTCAAAGGCGCAGTCAAGTGGCAGCTTCATTGCAGATGCACAGTCTGCTTGTTCTGGCAATTTAGACATTTCATGTCCAACTTTGATGCTGCCTGCCATCTGTGGTTGACATTCCGAAGGTATCGCTAATCGATGAATCGATGAACACATCATGTTAAGTGTAGGTCAAGATTGACAAGCCCCTGATTACAGCTTCTAGCCATGCTTGCTGTAAAACTATCCAGTTTCTGGGTAATTCCCCAATCTTCAAACAACATCAAACCAACCATTTTGCTTCACCCCCCAAAAAAACCAGTCAAAATGATCATGCAAAATGGATGTGGTTTTTGGTTACAAATTTATATCACCTGTACATTTTATCAAGCAGCGGTCATCTTTTGAGGCCAACCTTCGACAACGGCAACGGCACCGGCTTGGACGGTATCTCTGTGGGTGGCTGGACCTGGCGACAACGGGTCAGTGGTGACGTGACTAAGGTCACGGCTTGGCACATTTCTCCCATGGGTGGATTTGAAATGATTTGAATGCATGGATCATATACATTATAGATGATATCAGTATCCATCAATGGTATCCATCAATGATGGGTATAATGGATCATCTTGGTATGTGGATTTGAGACATTGAGTGAAGACGGGATCTTCAACTCCAAATCAGCAGAGAGTTTTCTAATGGGTGAAGAATCCAACTGGGGTGTGATTGAAAATGGGCAGGCATACCCCCCCAAAATGGTCATTGTTCATGGGAAATATCATGATTAACCAGTGGATTTGGTGTATACCTAAATTTTCGGAGCACCGCCAATTTTAGGGGCAACCCCAAGAATCATATTGCTATTCCAACATAAGTTATATAATGTTGTGTGGACATAGATATATATATATATATAGTATCCACATTTTTAATACCCACATTTTGTGCATTAATAACCTACCTATCTATCTATCTGTCTGTCTATCTATCTAATCTAATCTAATCTGATCTGATCTGATCTATATAATCTAATCTAATCTAATCTAATCCAATCCAATCTAATCTATCTATCTATCTATAAACATACACACATCTATATAATAATCACTTTGACTATAGCAAAAAATATCTATATATCTGTAATCTCTACAATCTCTCTCTCTCTATATATATACATATCACAAATACTAATACCGATATCTGTATCTATATCTATAGCTATATGGCTATATCTATTTAACCGCCGTTGGCGTGTTCCGCCGGCCACCACGGCCAGAGCTAGTTGGGTTTCTCAAACCTTTAAAGCAGAGACATGACATAGGAGAGATAAAGTGCAAGTGCATGCAGTAAAGCGTAGCAGCAGTCAGGATAGCGGTGCAGATTTGGGGCCATGGACGCAACTGAAAAGATTTTGGTGTCTCAAACATGTATAGCAGAGACAGGACATAGGAGGAGATAAAGTGCAAGTGCGTGCAGCTCAGCATAGCAGCAGCCAGGATAGAAGGGCGAAGCAAGAGCAGGATTTTGCTAGATGTTTGTGTAAAACATGGTGTTTCTGTGAAACACTTAAAACACGTTTTTTCTGTGAATCAGCGTTTTGTTTAGTAGGAAGATGCGCTTTTACACAAAGCATGGTGTTCGCGTAAACCAGGGTTTGAATTTAAACCGAAGCAGTGTGTGAACCACGGTTCTTGGAAAAGGCCATACATAGAAAGTCTGCGCGTGTAAATGGTGTTCTGCACAAAAGCTAGTGGATTGACAGGCCACCTGTATGAGGTATAGGAACGTAGAAGGTGTAAGAATGACAGAGCAAACCGATCGCGAGCACCACAATGGAAATGGGAACAAACATGAAGATGCGCAGGTTGCGCGAGGCGTGGGCAGAGTCGAACCCAGCACATTGCAACGAAAGACGCAGAGGAAAAACACGAAGAGGAGACACAACACATGGGTTTTGCGTAAACCGGGGTTTGAGTTGAAACCGAATCATGCCTGCAAACAAAGGTTGAAACGAAAGATGAAAAGCGCGACGCGGATTGAAGGGGGGG